TTCCAAGTCAGCCCCCTCGCACCCCGCCCCGTCCCACCGCCTTGACCAAACAAGCCATTACTTCAATTCTCCATGACCTCCACTACTACAATTTCCCATGACCTCCTCTCACCGAGTCAAACCCCGCAAAACCAAGTCCTGGTGCCCCACGGCCACCCAAGCTTTGCTTCCCACCTCCTCACCTGAAAGTTTACAGCCCCAACAAAAATCAAGCCACAAAACATCCCTGGCCCTCACGCACGCAGGTGCTGGTGTATCACGACTTGCTTGGCATGATGAGTCACCCCCACCACGCCAAGGTCACACCGAAGTTCTGCAAGCGCTACGCCGAGGTGGGCGCCACCATCCAGGCCGCCCTGCAGGCGTACCGCGATGATGTGGCGTCCCGCAGCTTCCCGGGGGTGCGGTACAGCCCGTACAGCATCAAGCCTGGGGAGGTTGCAGCGCTTGAGGAGGAGCTGGCGGCGGCGGGGATGCCGGAGGCGGCCGGGGCGCTGAGGGCAGCGGCGCAGGAGGAGGCGGACGCACGGGCGGCGGCGGCGGCGTATGCGAAAGGCGCGCGCGGGGCAACCCACTGAGGGAGCTCTCAGGGGCGGTCCGTTTGTGTTTTTGAGCCGTGCGGCGCAAACTTGGCCCCGGGCCTGCTGGGTCAGCAGGGGCCCGTGGCGGTGCACTCGTCGGCGGCATATATTGTACGTGTGATCCCCCCTTCGTGCATAGCTGGGCGCAGCCGCTTGTACCATTTGATGTTCCATGAAGCACTCCTTGGCAGGCCGTCTCTCTGTGCATGGCGAAGCCGCAGTGCCATGATTCGGTGGCGGCCTTGCCTGGACGCTTTTGGCGCCCATATGTCTTGTCAATTTGCTGGTATGATATTTTTTGGAATAATTGTGTGAGGTGATGAAGACTGTGCATTGCGGGTACAAGACACAAGGGTGTGTGGCGGGGTGCCGCTGCTGCATGGGCCGCAGGTGCCTGGTCAGATTTCAACTGATCTGCAGGGTGCAGGGCGCCCTTCACGGCGTCCATGCACCCCAGGCCTTGGCATGCCACAATTTTTCTTAGACCCCAATGCAAATGGTGATTTTCTGCTCCTTACAGCACGCCTCGACTTTTGTAAACTTGCAATCCTCCCTGGCGCAGATGACGCCGGTCGCAGGGCAATAGCTACAGTCTGCAGCCCACATGGATGACAAGGCAGCACTGCAGACATGATGTGCTTACGTGCTGTACGTGTAAAGTTGCTGGAATGATGGCTTGTGTCTGAACGGAACAACGTCCCCCCATGAACCGCCATTTCTGTGCGACAGACATACGGTAAGATGGCTGTCAGTTGACCGTTGCATTCGTCAAGGGACAGTAATGAGGGGTGAGTGAGGCTGCTAGGACTATCGACATAGGGCCCAGTCCTGGAAGCCTGGGAGAGTAACCCCTCAGCCTGACTAGTATCATAAAGCCCCGTGGCATGACTATTTCGTTCACCGTGACGGCCACGGACAGTGCGGTATCATGGAGCAGGGTTACTTAAGCCAAGTACAAAACTCAAGCTATCTAATAAGACATTGACAAAGACAGTGAGGCAAGACGCGGCCTCAAATAAATCCTGCATGCGAACCTCAAACCCGTGATGCTCACTCCACGAGGACGGCCACGATCCCACTACTTGGGGGCTGGGAGGCACAGCAGGCCCATCCACAGCACAGGCACGGGCGGAGGTGGCCGAGGCAGGGCGGGAGCCGGGGGCGGGGGCTTCGCAGGGGCCGGCACCCCCATGCCGCTCACCCAGCCAGCTTTGATGTACCCTCGTTGAGGCTGCTGCTGCAGCGCGGCAGGGAAGACTGCGATATCCCACCTGACTGTGCCAGGTGGGCTCACGGACACTTCTCCCACGTGGTGGGGCGGTGAGCAACCCCTGCTGCCAGCTTCACGCGTGATTCATGTTGCTCATCATCTGTGACCAGCCCAACGTTGGCGTTGGAAACCGCCGAACCCCATCCAAGATAGTCGAGACTCAACCCGTGCAGTCATGATTCCCTGCTGGTGCTCCCTCTGAACCACACACCCGGCACCCGCGCCTCCATCGTGCACCAACTGTGCCCTGTATCCTCATGCTGCGTCACACTCGTATCATGTGCGGGAATTCCCACATGCGCGCCGGCTTCTCCAGCCATGAGGACGTTGAAGACATCCCCTCCAGCTTCTCAAGCAGCCAGCACGACCTGAGGCAGATGCAGGCTCACGTCGACAAGGAGTTCAGGGTGGGTTTGCATTTGCAGGCACAGCAGGCGTAGCTGCAAGGTGGGGCAGCAGCTGCTCCAGCTGGGTCAGCCCCCGCCGGGTGTCTGCTCAACTGGCTGGCGCGCAGATGTTGCTAGCTGTGTGGCCGGCTGGGATCAAGAGTTCCTGTAGCTGGACCAGCACTGTAGTTGTGCATGCGTGAGGAAATGTGTGCAAGATTACGCGCGCCGTCGCCCATGCTGGTAACCATCCACAGTGCCAAGGAAGGTGGGGCCCCCGCTCGGCTTCGTTTGCCGAAGTCGCATGATACCCCGAGCTGCGGCATGCAGTAATCTCCCCCAAGCCTACCTTCTGCACGCTTCTGCGCTCGCCGTGCTGCCCAGGTGTCTGTGCTGGAGGCGTACAGGAAGACGCCCTCGGACGCCTGGAAGCCCTTCCAGCTGCTGACCATTGAGGACGCCAGCGGCGGCCCCAGCGCGCTCGCTGTGGCAGACGCCTACTCCTCGCCCTCCGATGCAGCGTCCCCGATGGTGCCCCGCGCAGTGACCGTGCGGCTGCGTGTCGAAGACGCCGATTTCATCGAAGGAGACAACTGGAGCAAACACGCCCTGCAGGTGGCCGTTATTGAAAACCTCGTTCAGGAGGCCTCCAAGGGCAACGCCTGTCAGCAGGCGCAGCTGCACTTGGCCGCTGATCGCAGCCGCCAGCCAGCAAGCCTGGCCCCAAGGGGTGCATCTGACGGTGATGTGCTGCTCTATGTGTTTCACCTCCCCTCATCCCTTGCTTGACCTTTTTTCCAAACCTCGAGAGAGAAAAACCCTTGCTTGCGTTTGTTTGTGAAAACAGTGCACACACACACACACACACACACACATGCGTGCAACACGCGTGCACGCACGCCCGCACGCCCGCACGCCCGCACGCCCGCACGCCTACACGCCCGCACGCCCGCACGCCCGCACACGCGCACGCGCGCGCGCGCGCACACACACACACACACACACAAAAACACACACACACACACACACACACATACTCGTGCCTGCGCACGCAGGTTGACAGCGTGCGTCAGATGCTGGTGGGCATTCGCCTGAAGCAGGACGACGGCACGCCGGACGTCATCGCCGTGCGCCTGCAACACGCAGATGCAGAGTGGCTCCGGGCCTCGCCCGGCAGGGTGCGGTCACTGGGGTTCATCGGTAGCTTCCTGCAGGATTACTCGGCAGCACAGGTGCGCTTGTCTGTGATAGTAAAAACAGAACGAAGCGCTTGCTTTCTTGCTTGGCTGGTGCGTGGCCCCTCCGCACATGTGCGGCCCAGGTGCACACTGGGACCTGTGCGCCAACGGACAGTTTGTGATTATCAATTCCTCGAATCCCGCTTCTTTCTGGGTCACGGCACCTTGCACGTGGCAGAAAGCATTGTGCAGGCAGACACGTCTCGTGCAGCACGCTTGTGGCAGCCATGCGCTCGCAGGCCAGCAGCACTTCTGCAAGCATTGCGCTCCCGCACAAAAAAACTCCTCACCTGAATTCGACGCACATGACGTCCAATCATGTTCACTGCGTCTTGCACGCCCGACCACAGGATCTGCTCATAAAAAATATGAACGGCACCCTCGTCGCCGGCACGCGTTCCCTTCTGGCGCAGATCGCCGACCCCAGCCAGCGCGCCTCTGCAAGCGCCAGCGCGCTCTGCGCAGCCCTGAAGCGTGAGGAGGGCAGCCGGGCAAAAGTGCCCGCGAGCACCTGCCTCTGGCCGGTACGCCCGATTGCATGCGCGTTCCAGACGGTTTGCAAGCTGCGCTGAATTGCCCCACTGCCTGGTTTACGCTATTCTTACCGCCTCATCACTGCTGCAACTTTCCTGCTTTGAGTGCGCAGCTCACAGCCAGATCCCCATCAATGCCAGCCAGCTCAAAGCGGTGAGGGGCCTGAGCGGCGGCCTGAGCGCCATCCAGGGGCCGCCAGGCACCGGCAAAAGCACCACCGTCTTCCACCTCATCACGATGCGCACCAGAGTACAACAGAAGGTGTGTGCGGGTCTGTGTGTGTGCGCGTGTGTGCTTGTGTTTGTGCTGTTTATGCATATGCTCAAAAATGATTGTCACACCTCATCAGAGGGCTGCTTCACCCTCCTCAAAAAATGCTTATGACCTTACCCTGTTCTCATGTTGAAGGGTGACCCCAGGCGTGCACGCACATGTGCATGGGTGTGCACGCACGCTTGCACGCGCGCGCACACACCCAAACACACACACAAGAGCACGTACACACACACACAAACACACACACACACACACACGCACGCACGCACGCACGCACGCACGCACGCACGCACGCGCGCGCGCGCGCACGCACACACACACACACACACACACGCACGCACAAGAGCACACACACACAAACACACCTGCAGGTGTTGGTGACGTGCGAGCGGAACAAGGCTGTGGATGCCCAGGTCCCCAAGGTGGATGGTCCTTGATCCAGCATGGCTCTTTACACACAAAAAATACCAAAAAAAGTGGGATCTCCAGCCATGGCTGCCAACCAATGGTTGCAACGACAAATATGGCACTCAACAATCATTTGCTGGGCCTGCCTGCTGCCACATAATCCCGCAGCTGGCCAACCTCCAGGGGGGCATCGTCGTGTTCGGCAACCGCAGCCGCCTGTGCGTCGACGCGGTGCAGCACACCCTGGTCGAGCGCATCGAGCGCCACGAGGAGGTGGTGCGTACGAGGCCGCACTTGCTGGGCCTTCTTGCACCTGACAGAAAAGCCACACATTCTTAATTGCGCCGCTGGCCAGCTCTTTTTGGCATTTGCGCCTTTCTTTTTGCAGCTCAAACTGCATGCAATGGTGCCATTACTGCACTGTCGTGTGCCGCAATCCGCGCGTGCAGGTGTGGTGGCTTCGCAAGCAGTCTGTCTTGGAGAGCATCGTGTCAAAGGTCGAAGCGGTCTCGCAGCAGCTGCAGGCGCTGCACCGGAACCTGTGGTGCGTGGGAAGCTGCAGGATTCAGGGTGCATCCAGCAGGGCCGGCCGTGCGCACTGGGACGAGTGCTTTCAAGACCAGCTCTGGGGTGCTTGCGCATGAGACCATCCATGTTGCTTGTACCTCCGTCACTCTGTCAACCTGAATGTTCCACAATCACTGTTGCACTCACGGCCCCTGCTCACTGCACCCGACATGTGCACGCCAGGGGCTCCGGATTCGCCCGAGCAGACGCCGCGACTCAGAGCCGCAGGGGCGTCAGTGGAGAGGCCGCCCGGCGCCGCTGGCGCAGAGCTTTCCTGCAGATCTGCCTGGACAATGCGTCTGCGGGGGTGACCGGCAGCGCGCGGCGCGTGCCGCACGGACGGTCAATGTCTGGATCGATTGTGGGGCGCAGCACCGGCCTGCTGGGGGGGGCCGGTGGCATCCTCAACGTCGCCTGGGGCCTGGTGAGCAGGGACGCCTGCTAGACACTGTGGGTGCATGACACAGGCATGATTTAGCAGCGTCATGCAGCCGCCGCCTTGCATTGGCGGGCTGGGATGTGCTTGGAGGCGTTTTTTGGTATGGATTGGTGGTCAAAGTTTGTTGCCCAGCCTTTCTCGTTGCTGCAAGCTCGTTTGCGCCAGGCGGCCCAGCATACCGCGGCTGGCTAATCCAGCGCTGCTGCCTTGGCAGCCGCTGGCTCTGTCACACACACGCTCTTTGCTCCAGACTCACACCCAACGCACGACTCACCATTTAACAGTCGTTTGTCTGCAAGGTGCGCCGCGCACTCTCGGAGATCCAGGGCACCCTGGCAGCCCGCATCCTGCCGAGCGTGCGCCACGCGGCCGGGCGCGACATCCTGCGCAATGCGCGGGCCTACCTTGCAACAGTGCACGCCACCTCCAGGTGCAGGGTTGTGCCGGGTGTCTCATGCCAAGTGTGTTGAAGCAAGCATTGAGTTGCATTTATTGGGTCTGCTTGGACAAAGGCAGCACAAGGGGTTCAATCGCTTGCTTTACCAGGTGCCGCACATGAGCAGCCAGCACAGGCAGCTCAAATCAGACAACCACGTGCATACACCTGAGCTGATGCCCGAAACATTCTGATGTTGTGGCCAGCAACAGCCCCTGCCCTGCCCTGCCTGCTTACCCCCCCCCTCCCCCAAAATCAAACACGTGCACTCGAATATGTATCACTTCCTTGCCGCAGGATGATGGAAGAGCTGCAGTCATACTTCACCGAGGACCAGGGCGAGGTAGGTGGTGTGAAAGCGGGCACCCGACTTGACAGGTGCCGTACTACATTAGTAACCAGGGGCCAACAGCTGGCGTGCCCGCAGCTCTGCACTCCCCTCGCTCCGAGCCTCTGCCTCGGGCCTGCCCCTGTCCAAGCCCTTGCGTACGTCCATGCCTGCCGCATTGTTAGCTCCTCTGCAATCCCATATGCCCTGCTCCCTGGCCTGTCACGCCATGTCAGGCGTCCCCCCGCATCGACGCCGTGGTGATGGACGAGGCCGGCTGCGTGCTGGAGTCGTGCGTGCCGGTGCTGCTGCTGCTGCAGCCAAGCGACATGGTGCTGCTCGGGGACCACAAGCAGCTGCCAGCGTTCAGCGCGGTCGGGCCAGAGCACCCCAAGGGCAGCGGCCTGCACAACCACTGCAGGCGCGTCGCCCCGGGGGCTGCCAGTTGCACGCCCGGCTGCCTGGCAATCTGGTTGGCACTGCTCCTAGGGGTGTTGACACAACTGCTGCGGTGTGCATTGCTGCGCGCTCACCTGCAACCACACTGCTGGTTGACTGCGTCTGGCGCTGTTCCCTGGGCTCATCACATCAAGACACCAGACCATTCAAGGCGCATATGCTGGCAGCTGCACGGGCCTGACTGCAGCGGCCTCGGTGCTCCCTGGGGATCACCGCGGAGGCACAGCACCGCGCCAGTGACTCTTCCAACGCGCCGCAGGTCTTTGATGGAGCGCATGGTGGCGTGCGGCGTGACGCCGGCCATGCTGGAGCTGCAGTACAGGATGAGCCCCGCCATCTGCAAGCTGGTGAGCGCAATGGCGTTCGCGCCACGACCCGGCGCGGGGTGGCCCGGGAGAGCAGATGGAATGGAACATGTTTGCTTTGAAATTGTGGAGCTGTGTGTGCATCACAGCGACAGCCAATGGGCCGCCACTGGACGCCCATATTTTGCATTTGATGTCCTTGTGAATTGTATAGCTTTTGAGTTGTCTGGCGGGGTCGATGTGTGGGTGCCCAAGGGCAAGGTGGGGCTGATCTTTGCGAGCAGTACTGCACTAGTGGCACTTCAGCCGCCATTGCTTTTTATGGGGGGCAGGTCTTCCCGACTTGGCCGCACCTGCTTTCTCCTCTGGCCTTTACGGTTAGGGGCGTTACCGCTTTGAGGAGCGAGGGTTTCTCCCGTCGCTGCTGGAATAGCGTGATGTAATATAATGGGGGGCAGGTCTGCTCAGTCAACCCACGCCTATGCATCAACTGCTTTCTTGACGTGGACAATGTGTCTGGCAACCGCCACCAGGTGTCTCAGCAATTCTACGGAGGCCGCCTGAAGACGCCCCACAGGTGGAGCAGACCAGGCGCCGCGTGAAGCCGGTGCGCGGGTCGAGTGAGCGTATCTGTGTTGCGCCCACTGACATGACGGTTCGCAAAAAAATGTGAGGCTGCCACCCTTGCCGCGCGCACCTGTTTCAGATTGGAGTTCGAAACCTATTGAAGCAGCCACAGCTCACTGCTTTGGTCCGCAACCTGCAAAATTTCGCCCCGCCAGGCGGTGTCATGGGTGGACTGCCCCGAGGGCCAGGAGGAAAAGGTCCTCGGCGGCGGCTTCAGGAACGAGGGCGAGGCACTGGCAGCCGTCGCCCGGCTGGAGACGAGCCTGGCGCAGCTCGAGGCGGCGGTGAGCAGCTGCACAGGGTTACCAGTGTCGCCGGCCCGGCGGAGGCGCAGGAGCGAGTGTTGCGCCTGCTGAGGCGGCTCGCGCTCGCGCTGGCATTTACCTGCATTATAGTTATCAGTGGTTGCCTGCAAACAACGTTGACATCTCCCTGCTAAACACAAAGCTGGGCAGTTTGCCGCGCGGTGTGCGGCACGGGCGGAGCAGCGTGGACGCTAGCACAGCTAAACAGTGAAGTTCGCTTTGGGCCTGTCGTGCGGCCCCCCCTTTTGCTTCACCGCCACCGACTCTGCCACGCAGGGCGTCCCCAACCCGACGGCGTTCATCATCACGTTCTACAACAGGCAGCGCGACCTGCTGCAGTCGCTGCTGGAGCAGCGCCTTCCGGGGCCGGCCGCCGCCGGCCGTGTGCAGGCGCTGTCGGTCGACGCGGCCCAGGGCTCAGAGGCTGACCTCGTGGTGCTGTCCCCAGTGCGCACGAGCACTGCGCGGCTCAGCGCGTTTTTCAAGGACGCGCGCCGCATTAATGTGGCCGTGTCGCGCGCGAAGCACCTGTGCGTGGTGGTGGGCAGCCGGAAAATGGCGGCGGGGGCGGGCGGCGTGTGGGCGGGGGTCCTGAGGCACTACGCGGCTGGCGGCTGCGGCTAGGGGCGGCCGGCCGACTGTCAGCAATTCAATTCTGCTGCGCGTGTTGAGGGCGCTGCGTTCTGCTCAATAGCTGGGGTTTCCCAGTTGTACGGCTGGGTTGCAAGCGCTGTGTAGATCGCAAGGCAGGATCCTTCGGACACAGCGAACACATGCGGCTGGGGATGATCTTGACCGCTGCCAATGCAAACGCGAGTGTGGCGGGTCGCACTGTCGAAGTGCTGGACACGTTAATCGTGCGTTTTCAACTGTTGATCAAATGGGATTTCTTGAGCGCAACGCATTGCAGGTTGCAAGGGCTGCTGCAAGCAACTGCCACCAACCCCCTTTGACCAGGCCTTTGCTTGCGCGTGTTGGACGCAGTGTTAGGGGTGTTGTTATACAATGCCATCATCATTTAGCAACGGTGCTGATTTAGGTTGGCCAGCTGGCCTTCTTTAATCCTTTGGGCGCACCACAGAGTGACGCAGCGACGCGTGAGCGGGACTTGCGGGGTGGCGCCCGGCTCCTTTGGTCGCGTGCTGCACTTGATCGTCCCAAGACTGCTTGAAGCGTACGGTATCGGTTGGTGCGTAAGAGCAATCAAACTACCAGTAATCTCCCGTCTACAGCGATCTCATGGACAATTAGTTTCTTGAATCGCAACAATGGGCAACCTCAACTGCTGCGCGAAGCCCACCGTGAAAGACGAAAAGCAGCCCGATGAGCCACACGTGGACGAAGAGGGCGCGGAGGCAGAAGCCGCCCCTGACGAGGTGCAGCGGCTGACTGCGCCCGCCCTTGGTGTGCGCATGCAGCTGCCTTTGCGAGTGTGCACCCTATCAGAGCGCTGAAGCCCTCGCATCAGCACATAAAATTACAGCCAATATGCCGATTCCAGGCGAGCGTGCCCTTCCAACTCCTGGCCCACCCCCTCCCTATCACCCCCACCCACACCCCCATCCTGTCACAATCACACCTGCCACCCAACCTCTGACCCTCAATCACCCTCACCGCCCCAGCCCGCCATCAAGCCACACTCCGCGACCCCCATGAAGCACCCACTGCTCGGCCAGGCGCTGTCGACTGACATAACTGGTGGGCCGAGCATGCAGATACCCGCCACCCGATCAGTTGCCTCGCACCTCGCTACCAACCATCAGCGTGCAGGCACGGAAACCGAAGCACACACACCATTAGCGTGGGACTTCCTTGTTCCCAAACATCCTCTGTCGTTGAAATGGGCAGCACTGGCAGCACAGCATGCAGATTGCAACACTCACGCACCCACAGTCACGTCGTCATCCCTCCACATATATCGCATGATCAAACACAATCTCTGTCATACACGCCCGCATACACACACACACACACACAATCTCTCTCTATCTTGCACACACACACGCACACACTCACACACGCCCACACACACATACGCACACGTGCGCAGACACATAAATACACACATGCACCAACATGTACACCAATGCGCCCTTGATTCTCGACGTACAGCCAGGTACGACCTGGGTGATGTCATCGGCCGCGGCGCATTCGCCACCATGCGCATCGCGACCGACAAGGCCAGTGGCGCGAAGCGGGCCTGCAAGAGCATCCTGAAGCGACGGGTGGAGGGGGCCGGGGATGCTGTTGACGTGCGCAAGGAGCTGGATGTGATGCTGCACCTGGCAGGTGAGGGGTATTTGTGGCGTCATCTGCTGGCCTGCCTGAGGGCTTGGCTGGGTTGTGTCCACGACAAAATTCATCCTAGTCCAGGCGAGGGGGCGAGGGAACATAAGCAGCTGCAGCTCTGCGTGCTGGTGCGTCGGTGGGGCCAGAATGCAGGGGCACTCAGAGGCGGGATGTGCAAATGCGTGTGCTCGCGAAGCCGCGCAAGTGTGGGAGGGCAGGCGCCATGGATTGGTGCAGCAGCTGCAGCGGCTGGCGGCTCCATCGGCGCAATGCCTGCTGCGCTGCTCCCCCTCCTTTGACCCTCACCGCTGCGCCGCACCCACTGGGACAGCGAGCGGCTGTTGCTCTGGGGAATCCACACCAAACCTTGAGCTCAAAACCCTGTTGTTCCACCTTCCCCCCTCAAAGTCCACCCCAATATCGTGGAGGTGGTTGACGCGTTTGAGGACAATGCTTATGTGAGAGGGGCCAGAAATGACGGGGTGATGGTGACAATGGGGCCTGAGGAGAGGAAGGGGCTGCTGCACGCCTGCTCAGCATGCTGCAACCGACCGCTTGGGGGGGCGCCGCGCCGGACGGCGCCGCCCTGCTGCCGTGGCCAGGCGGGGGTGCAGCTCGCACTCCTGTCCTCCGCAAGAGACCGTGCCTTCAGGCGACAGCCTGGGCCCCTCCTGCTGAGTTTGCACGGCACCCTCGCACGCAGCACAGCCCAGCGGCGTGCACCCGCTTGGCAACGCGCAGGCCTACACCGACGGTCGATTTGAAATGCAACCGCGCCCCTCTAACGCTGCCCCCTGTTCGCGCCTGTTTGACTTCTCAGGTGCACATTGTGATGGAGTACTGTGAGGGGGGCGATCTGGTCAAACGCATCATCGACAAGGTGCGGGCGCCAGGAATGCATGCTGCCGCCAACTGGGGTCCTTGACGGAAGCCCCTGGTCAGTAAAGCTTTGTAACCCGATCGGTCGAGGGCGCTGGCATGCGTCGCGTGTGTTTGGAGGACTCCTCTCGGTAGCTAGCCTCGCTGGCAACTTTGCTGAACCCAAACGCCTCAGCAGCAGGTTGCCACAGCATCCCGAGACGCGCACTCGCCTGGCCGGGCGCCTCGCATGGCTCACCTGCCTGCGCACGAGCCCGCGGGCGGCAGGCTTGCCGCGGGCGCTGGGTAAACCTCTGCACGCCGCACACCCTCTGAACGCACGTGACCCCCCGCCCCGCCGCCCGTCCCGCAGGGCCACTACACCGAGCGCGACGCGGCCGCCGCCATCCGCACCGTGCTGGAGGTCATAGCCTACTCCCACGACATGGGCTGCATGCACAGAGACATCAAGGTCCGGCCCCGCGCGCACGGCTGCATTTTGGTGTGCGCATGGGTGTTTGCACCTTTGTGTGGCTGCTCGGCCGTGCCGGTCACAGGCAGTAGAACAGAAATGCCAGCCGGCAGATGTGCCGCCGCCCTCTGGCCACCCAAACGTGTCTCTGCTGCACAGCCGTGGCTCGTGCGCATCCGTGTGCGCGCAAGACGCCCCTCCATACCCCTGCCTGCGCCGGTTCCTTGCGGGACCCGCACCTGCCCCTTCATTCCTGCTCCCTACGCCCACGCCCTGTGGGCTGCGTCTCGCCTCGTCCACCCCATCCTGACGCCCCGACCCACAACGCCCGCCTGGGCGACCATACCCCTTGGCACTGCCTGCACTGGCAGCCTGACAACTGCCTGCTGGCGGATACCTCCGACTCGGCGCCCCTCAAGATCGCGGACTGGGGCTATGCGGACTTCTTCCGCCAAGGCCAGAAACTCAAGGGGGACGTCGGCACCAGCTTCTACATGGCTCCCGTGAGTGGTGGGCGCCGTGTGCGTGGCCCACACTTTGTGGCAAACCGAGTCTGCCCTGGGTCCAGAGGAGGGCCGCGAGCAAGCCAGTGGCGCTCCTGCTCCGCGCAAGCCCGTCCGGCGCCGAGCTGCCTTCCTTCCCTCTGTCTGGACGCGTGGGCGTTCTCGATGCCTTCCGTTCCATAGGGCTTGTGTCCTGCCGCCCGCCCCTCAGAACTGCCCGACCCATTACCTGGCCCCCCAGCCCCACCCCCTCTTCACGAAATCCAGCCCAGCTTGGCCATCCCACTCATAGGTGCCCCTTGCCCCGACCCCAACCCACCCGTTACCACCCCACCCCACCCCACCCCCTGCAACCTTCAGGAGGTCCTGACAGGGCCC